TACCTTACATCAAACCAAACACAGTGACAGGAAGTGTTTTCTGTCACAGTATCCATTTGAAGGCTTTGTACGGTCAAACACACCTCACGTGTAACTCTAGTTTGCATTTCTCTGCTGGTTGCAGCAGTTTACATTAAAACAAAATTACAATTGTAATTTATATGACACAGTTTCATCTAATGCCTATGTTTGGCCTGAAATTACTGTGATACTGTAAGATACTGTAAATATGTGATGTTGCACTATGTGTTTAATGTGAATTTAAGCATTGAGCAGCTGGACTGTTTGGTTATTAAAATGTTTTCTTCAACACTGGAATGTTCTGGATGTGTTTGTTTACCAGTTTAATGCACAAAATATGTAGCACTGAAGAATGCACCAGTTGTCTGAAAAAGTAGTACGTCAGCAAAAGGGATTTAAGGTAGCTCTCTAGCTGGATCCTCTTTTAGCAGACTACTCGGAAATGTAAAATCTACATTACTGCTAGAGTGAGTTTTTCTTAACTCACTTCAACAGTAAATTTTAAAATAATGAATTAAAACAAAAAAAGCTAGCTGACGTAAATAAACTAGCTGAGGCTAGCTTGTGCCCAAGCTAACTTTTTGGGGTAACTGGGGCCTGTAAGAAAAACTCAAACATTGTCGACATCTTTTCAAGGTACAAAGCTAATATGTGCGAAGTGTTTATTATACCGTTGCTTTAAACCACACTACAGCATAAATATAGTCAAATATAGTTTGTCTGAGTTTGCATACTTACAACTGAATGTAGTACGCTATGTACATTAAAGCATAGGTACTCGTTTTGCAAAGTGTTGACAGAGTACTTTTGGCTCAGACCCAACACCCAACGTCAAATGTTTCAAACAGGAAAGACTTGACGGAAATAATGACTGCCTTTGTCACGCCAGCTCTTTTTATGCAGCATTTGGAGAGTTCATGACAGAACACATTATCATATACATATAACACATATAATACTAAATTCTTCTACTCTAAGGTGATATTTTCACATACTTGAACACCTGTGCCTAAAAATACTGGTGTTAGCTAGCTAGCTAAATTAGCTAGCTAGCTAGCTAACACCAGCAGTATTGAAATCACATTTGTTGGTGGTTTTTTACTTTCTGCCTTGTTACCTAACATACTGATACAATAAGTTAGTTTCTAGTCTTTAAACTCAAATTTTGGTCTCCACCAGGCCTCAAGGGAAATACGTCCTTAGTTGTTCTATATTTTCTTTCCATACATTTTCTACATACGAGTTATGTTTCCCAGTTCGTGCAGCATGTCGAGGTTGTGCACAGTAATGCGAGCTCGAGGAAAGTGTTACATTCAAAATACAAATGAATGTATGCTGAAATGCTGAGGAAATACGTACAAATACAAAGTTTTAGAGGACCTTTAAAATCCCAAATTCTTTGTTTAAAATAGCAATAACAAATGATTACTGAGATAAATACCTCGCAATATTTAACAGAGCAGTCAGACTTATTAGATAACGTGCAGCATGTTCAGTTGCCCAACAACAACATTCCTCGTCTTTCCTAGAACATTGCATTCCTTTTTGTACAGTTGGGTTCACACACTGTAATAGTAACCCCTTATGTTTAAATTTATAAGTGTAGGAGAAGAGGGCCGCCTGACTGACAGCAGGGAGAGTCCCCTTCTGTGAACTCACAGTGGTGGCTGACAGTGGCCAGACACCCAGACCTTCGCTTCTGCTCTCTCTGTCAGACGTCTGCCCTGCTGTTGTGACGAGACGGAATCATCTTTTAAAGCGGCTGCTCTCCAGAACCATATGTTCTGCTGTTCTCTGTGATGTGAGCACCATCAGCCAGTGATTTTATACCAGTGCGTTTAACTCTGCTCTTTCTTTGTTTTTGTGCTGGATTCATTTTCCCATAAAACTGCAGGACATCTATGGGGTGAGGGATGTTTAGGATATGGAGTCTCCAAAGATGTTTGATACACCAGTAATTTAGGTGAAAATTTCTTCTAGTCACGTCATATTTATTTGACCTCCATTGCCTTGGAGACCCCCTGAGGTACTTTGAAACCAGCCAGTATGTCGTCGTGACTGGACATGTCTGAAACACCTTGCCTAAGGTGTGTCTACTCAAATCCCCTGGTTCCTTTCAACGTGGAGCAGCAACTCTACCCCAAGTCCGTCCCAAATGACTTATCTTATTTCTAAGGGCATGTCCCGACACCCTCCGGAAGAAGCCCATTTCCGCCTCTAGCATCTGTGACTGTTTTCTGTTGGTAACTTTCTACAGTTCCTGCCCATATACGTGAGGGTAGAAACACAAATTTACAGTAAATAGCTTTAATTTCAATGCTTGGCTTTCATTTTTAGCTCTCTTCACCACAACAGATGAAAGCTGCTTTCTTGCACTTGGTTTGAAGAGTGAGCTGAAGGTTAATGCTCAATGAAAACAAATAAACCCCCCAAAACAAAGTAAACTAATGCTTTGTGTTTAGCCCATAGATACATCTCCAAAGCACTGCTAGACTTTTTATACAGTTTGCACATCTAGTTGTCAAAGGAGAAAAAAACTCTGGAAGAAGTATTTCTTCCAGAGTTTCTATTTTTTCCCCAAAGACTAATCATGAAAACCTGTGAATCTTCCTAATCTTAGTCAACAAACAATGCCAAACATTCGATGGTTCCTGTTTCTCAATGCTGTGAAATCGAGTTTTTTTGGGTTTTGAAATGCTGGCTGAACAAAAAGAAAGCAACCGAGAAATTTAACAGTAAGGGAATACAAAAAAGTGAATTGTGTCCTAGTGCTGATGTTATTCTGCCGCACATTTTCTCCATGTCTGATTATGGAACCGTCATCGCTTCAGGCCTCTGAAGGCCTTTGAGGAATTGTATGTGATAATGAGCTGTGCCAATAAACTTGCCTTGACCTTTAAAGTAGACTTACCCAGCACACATTCCATTACGCAGATGCCTGGCTATTTTTAGAATCTTAATTCTTTTATCTAACATCTGCATCCATCTACCACATCATCACACTCATTTTTGTGACAACAGCCAAATAATGGATACAGTAGGTGTGAAAAAACAATGGCAATTAGTGTACACAGCAGCAGATAGTCCAAAAAAAAAAAAAAAAGCACAGGGTGTTGGTAAAGGTATTCACAAACGCAAAACTGGTATGTCATCATAGTGAACACCTTTGCTGATCCACATGGCTTGATACAAGAAAATAAAACTGTCTTTGCCTCGCTCTCTAAACTGGTAGCAAAACCTGTGGGTTCTCATTTGTTGCCATGGACGATCATGGCAACAGACTACTGGGATCAGATCCCAGGAGTACTCAAAAGGTGTGTAAATGCTGGATCCAAATTTAGAAACGGGCCACGTCCTACTTTGGTCAGCACTCTGCACATACATCAGTCTGCACAGGCCTTTAGACGCACACACTGTTCGAGCGCAGCCAATTTCTGTACACCGCCGTCCCAAATTTGATTTACTTGACAAATTAAGAGGAGATACTTTGCCTTCAGTGTTAAAAAACACTGCAATGGGAATGTATCCAAAAGCCACACAGACGTCATTAAATTTCCAGTCCATTGTTGATGATGCACTTATAAGGACCTGGCGGCTTGATTGTGTCCTCCCATCAGGTCCAGCTCTAAAACAAAGATCTGAATGTCTGATTGCTTAAGTAGGAGCTCTTTTAGAAAAACAGCTGTAGTACGAGTGTGCCACTACGTTAATTAAATGACAAAGCCTGGAAAAAAGATAAATTGTCTTGATACACGGCCTTCAAGAAGTACAGTAAATACATTCCCTGCTATTTCACTGCTACACCACCAGATGGAGCCAAAGATCCACTACTAGAAATTTAGCTACACAGCACTGATGGGTAAACTATCTGCAGACACATCTAAACATCAGGGGAACGCATAATACAGGTCCATAAAAGCAAGCAGTCCGCAAACATCTAGACATTTTTATTATGAAAATAAGACAGAACATCATTTGATAACAGTTTTCCTTCGAGCATGCATTAGAGCTGAT